CGTGCTCCGGTGTTGAATTTTGTATCCAGGTTTCCGAAATGCATAAAAAGTCTACATTGGAGTTTGCTAATAAATGCTTCAGCTTTAGATACAAGGCTTCTAATGTTTAGATGACCGCCAAAAAGTCCTTTCGGTTTTAGCTTGCAATCCCAAACTACTCGTGCGTGGTTTACAGTCTGAAATAAGTGAAGAGACAATGCGAACACAGCTCTGGCTCCGGTCATACAGGGACCGGACGGCCCTCAGCAGAGGAACCCGGACCCCGTACTCCTGGTGAACCCCCCAAAGGACACCCCGGGGAACACAGTCGAACGCCTTCTCCAAGTCCACAAAGCATATGTGGACAGGTTGAGCGAACTCCCATGAACCCTTGAGTATCCGATAGAGAGTATAGAGCTTGTCCAGTGTTCCGCGGCTGGGATGAAAACCACACTGCTCCTCCTGGATCCGAGATTCGACCATTGGCCGAAGTCTCGTCTCCAGTATCTTGGAGTATACCTTATCAGGGAGGCTGAGGAGTGTGATCCCACGACAATTGGAAAACACCCTCCGGTCTCCCTTCTTGTAGAGAGGGACCACCACCCCGGTCTGCCACTCCACTGGCACCGCCACCCGAGTGCCACACAATGTTGCAGAGACGTGTCAGCAAGGCAATTGTTTTTCTTTAATAAATAAGTAAATACATTTCATGTTAATATGTTTAAAAAGCTAAAAAAAAATCAAAATGATTACATTATTTGTTGTAAGTAGTTTTCATAAATATTTCATGATTGTTGGTGTGTTGGATTAAAGATATAGCGATGAATGGGTACTTCCGGTTTTGCCGCTTGACTTCCGGTTTCTGGTTTTCGGTAGTCAGACCTCCGTTGCATTCTAGTATCAGCATGGTGTCCTTCTCTATCCGTCCTCATCTGCGTTGAATCTCTTTCAAGGCAATGCCGTAAGTTTGTTTATGTGTGTATAGTCATCTTAGTACCTATATTTGTGAGCTATTTAGCCATAGTATTGCGTTTATATGGACCTTTGTACATGGACCTTTGCACATTTATTTTGATGTCTATTGCAGTTTTCATGAGAGCTTTTTGTATACTTTACAGTTTTCACTATCTGGAGAGGAAATGAAAACAACTAAACGTCCCCTGTGGTCCCGGTTCTCTTCAGTGGTTTAGCTTATTGATTTATTGTTTATTTGGTTGGGACGTGTTAATGAACACATCACTTCGGATTGTAGCCATTGGCTAATTTCCATCCTTTGTCCCACATTCTCACTCACCCTGAACTATTGCACTTTTTTTTTAGTGGTAGGGGAAACTGGAGTACCCGGAGGAAACCGATACAAACACAGGGAGAACATGCAAACTCCACTCAGAAAGGCCCTGTTCCAACCGGGATTCGAACCCAGAACCTTCTTGCTGAGAGGCGAGAGTGCTATCCACTCAGCCACCGTGCCGCCAAGCTCAGTGTTGTTTCGACGACAATCTAACAATCCTACAACATCCAGAGACTTTAGATAGTCAGGATGGATCTCATCCACTTCTTAGCCAGCTCCTTGGCCTTGCCACCGAGGAGGCTGCCAACCAACTTGGTGACCTCAGCCAGGGAGGTGGAAGCACCCGCCCCAGCATCCTCAGCCTCTGCCTCCGGAACAACCTCAAAGTACTCCTTCCACCGCCCGACAATATTGACACCTGAATTTCTCCGACGGGGATCAATAAAGTATCCCCAGTCAAGATTAGCAGTTCTCCACCCGCACCATACACGGTGTTGGCGAAGAACTGCTTCCCCCTCCTGAGGCGCCGGATGGTTTGCCAGAATCTCTTCGAGGCCGACCGATAGTCATGCTTCATGGACTCTCCAAACTCCTCCAAGTCCCGGGTTTTTGCCTCTGCAACAGCCCGGGCCTTGGCCTGCTGGTACTGGACAGCTGCCTCAGGAGTTCCACGAACCATCATGGCTCGATAGGACTCCTTCTTCAGCCTGACGGCATCCCTTACTGCCGGTGTCCACCACCGGGTTCGGGGGTTGCCACCGGGCAGAGGCGTCCCGTGCCAATAGGCAAGGCAGGCAGCTGCCTGGGCCCCCCAAACGGGACCTGCAGTGACGAGTTGGCGGACAAAAACTTTTTGTCTGATGAAAACTTGCCACGTTCTTCATTATCAGTTAAAAACCTTCCTGGGGCAGCCTCTGTATTGAATGTAATTGTGGTCGAGGGGTTAAGTTGCAGCGCTTGCAACACGGTGGCCCGGGTTTGTGTCCGGATGAGAGCAGTATTGGGATTAAACTATATATTATATTACATGACAGATTGCTCAAGAACGGTAAAAGGTAAAAACAAGCCGTTTTTTGCAGATTAACCCTCCAAGGTCTAGGGTCATTTTGGGGAACTTTCCTCGCCTGGTTTTCTTTGTGTATAATTGCTCATAAAAGAGTCATTTTTTGATTCAGAGTCAAGCAGTATACTTTGTTTTTTTCAGTACAACCTGGGGTTTTAGAATATATTTTGGAGCTATCATATTGATAATGCTGTTTCAACTACAGTTGAACCTGATGAAATCTCACACAACAAAGAGACAAAGTTAATCTTTTACTTGTTACGTTGTACAAGGAGAATGTCCTGACAGAGGCAAGGCACAGACCCTAGCCTCTCTCAGGACAAGTCTGAAGATTCACAGATGGCAAGCCCCTTTTGGTAGAGCAAGACACACCTTCGTATGCAGATGGGAAAGGAAGAAACCAACACAACAAAAGACACTCCAAATTAGCGTAAACAAAGACTGCTTCCTCTGGTGTTTAACATATGAGCTCCCCAGACCTCCCGGTGTCTTCCTGGAGCTAAAGTGAATTACAATACAGAGCATTCAGCATATAGCCACATATGATTTACCAAAATGATAACTTAAGTTACATTCCAATATCACATATCAATTATATAAAACATTTGGAGTCATGAAGACAAAGAAAAAATCAAAACGGAAAATGAATTTCACAAAAATGTATTTAAAAAAAACAATGAAATGCTATAAACAACTGTTTACACTGCATAGAAATGTATTTTATGGTCTTGGGGATAATGGGGAAAAAATTTGAATCCGTAACTATTATACTTTTTACAAAATTCCTCTATAAAAGCCAAAAACGCTGTACTCCTGATGCCCTTCCTCAAACAGTTTGTCTATGAGGCTGTGGTTGCTTCTGTATCACAGCTGTAAAATACGTAAAACAAAAGAAACCAGGAAAAAAAAAAAAAAAATACATGTAATTTATATATACAAAATTAAACATGTGTGTGTGTGCTTTATATTTTTCATGTGTTTTAACTGTTGATACTCTGACCTGTGTTGGTGATTTCAATGGTTTTGTTAAGTCCTCTGAGATGACTTCTGTTGTGACCTAGGGCTATACAAGAATAAATTGTATTGTGTATTGTATTGTATTGATGGACACTCACTGCTGGGAAGGGTTCAGTGAGGCGTTCCCAGCAGATCCTCACTACATGCTGGGGCCTGCCAGGTCTGGCAGGATTTCTTCCCTGCCAGTGGTTCCAACTCACGACCAGGTGGTGATCGGTTGACAGCTCCGCCCCTCTCTTACCCGAGTGTCCGAGACATGCGGCCGAAGGTCAGATGATACGATAACAAAGTCGATCATCGACCTCCGGCCTAGTGTGTCCTGGTGCCACGTGCACTGGTGGACACCCTTGTGCTTGAACATGGTGTTCGTGATGGACAAACTGTGACTAGCACAGAAGTCCAACAACTGAACACCGCTCGGGTTCAGATCAGGGGAACCGTTCTTCCTGGTCACCCCTCTCCAAGTGTCACTAGCATTTCCCAAATGGGTGTCAAAGTCCCCAGGAGAATAACGGAGTCCACAGTCGGTTTCCACTGACATCTTACATAACGGCCCCACGTTCGCGAGTCTCTCCGCTTAACGCAGTTCATAAAGTCTGGCGTCTGACCACAGCAGCCAGAGATCATGAGGACAAACACATACACGTGGATTTTACTGCTCTACAGTTCTCTGGCCCGTAGTGTCTGCAATGTTTAACAATACTATTTCTACGGACTACCCGTGAACGCCCCAGATACTCTGCTAACATACGTGCGAGCCGACAAGCAGTAACGGCTGCAGCAACACGTCTGTACTTTATTACCACAGAGTGCAAAGTAAACGTACAAACACAACCCATTGGTCTCATGTTGTCAGTGAACACATTACACTGTCCTCTACACTTCTCCATAGACCTCGGCAGCAGCCGTCCCTGTGTACTATCCTATTTTCTCTGTATTTTGTCGTGTAAATGTGTACATATTCACAGATACAGTATGTGCTGTATATTCCTGAGTACTTCTATCCAGATTATTCTATTCTCACAAATATCTCATTATTATTCTAATTTTTTAATTGCTACTTTAACGTTTATTTATTTATTTTTTATTGTGAAATACAATGCAAGCTTCTGTGACCGTCAGAGCTGCACCCATTACACTTGGCACCAGCCCCTCACTTTTACGGAATATATGAATACAATGTTTCAAAATATTTCTACGAACCAAATTAGCATATCTGCTTGAATTAAAACAACTGGACCAATGAGATGAAGCCTTTATATTGTAGACTGAGTTTAATAATGTTTACATTTAATTATAACTTATTGTATTTAGGGTTCAATATTTATGATAATATAAATGGCGCGGCTGTTTGCGTGTATAACATGCTTTGTGACTATTTCACTTTGTCCACATTGGGGGACGAAATAATGCTGTGTGTTTTATTTTGAGTGCAAGTTTTTAGTGGCAGACTTCAGTCTTGATGGTGTCTTATGTTACATTCAAGCATGGGTTTGGGTTTTTTACCCAAAATCTTACATAACATTCTTTTTTAACAATAATATTATAAATGTTATTGGTCGACTGGTTGTATTCAGTGAAGTAATGGTTGCAGCCGTAATGATCCTGTCTCCATTGTGTTGTGCAGAGACTGTGGCTCCATGTTCTGAGATGGCCCCACACGCACAGCCCTACAGTGGCTATGATTACCCCGGCATGCCCCATCCCTCCTCCACCCCTCATCATGGATACAACCAGGCAGGCTATCCTCAGCCCTCACAGGTATACTATAAATTCAAATGCATTCTGGAGGTGTTCATGGTTAAGTGTAAGCGTTACATATTTTTCCTCAATATGATAAATGTATAAATGCAATACATGCTATTGCTTTCACAATGGTGGATGCAAGGGATCGCGGTGTCAGTGCCCGTCACTTCAAATGTGACAGTTGCCTGTGTACTTACATACATACTTCCTGCTCTGGAACAGAGCGGTTGCTTTTTCTCGCTGCTCCTCGCTCGCTGCTTTTTAATCTCCTTTAATCCTTTTTATATACATTTTTTTTCTACAAAACACGGATTACTCCTTTTTACAAACATCAATACAAGACTTGTGGAATTTACCAACTTTCAGCATGTCTGGAGGACGGGATAAAAAGAACATTTTGCGATGGCTGTTGGTCACGCAAACAGGAGTTCAAAGTTCTTCAAGACCGAATGTTTCTCCTTGAATCAGAATTGGGGCTAAACACAACAATGCCAGTGAGGGGAAATGGACAAAATGGCCAAAACGTAAGTTATGATGATGCTATTTAATTTCCCAAAATCAAGAGACAATTGCTGGAACCAAACCCAAACAAGGCAAAGCTAATGATAACAAGAGTGTAATAATGCCGGAGCAAAAACTATTAAATACAAGAAACCGCTTTTCACCACTTTTGGAAGCTGAATCAACAGTAGCGTCTCAGTCTCAGTCAAGGTCAAAGGCTGCTGACTCGGTCCTTATCGGGGATTCTGCGATCAGGAATGTAAACATGCGTGGTGTGAAGACATTGTCTGTTCACTCGGCTAAAGTTGAGCTCAACACCTCCACCGCCTCCAAGGATCTCAACACCTCCACCGTCATCTGCAGCAGCTGCATCATCACCAGTAGCAGCACCAGCAGCACGACCACCACCACCAACATCCTCATCCCCAGCCCGCTCCGAAGCAGTCAGGCCTTCTTCATCTACAGCGCCTCTGAAGCCCCCATCCTCACCCCAGGCTACAGCAGACAGGCCTGTGCTGGAGTTTCCTTAACCACCTGCCACTCCATCACAGACTCCCTCGCGCCTTCAATGGACCTGTCTTGGGTCCCCCCTGCCACGTCCACTCCATCAAGAGAGAATGGGGACACTTCCCTTTGTTTTCTATCCCCGCCTTCACTGTTAGACCTACCTGAACACTCTGTAGGGCTAATAAAATCGGCGATGAAGACTATTCCTCTCACACCCATATTAGCTCGATCTAGAGTCCTGTCCAACATTCAAAATCACTCCCCATATGTACCTCGGAGGCCACCTAGGGTTTCCAATTCTCCTGATTCACCTACAAAAACCACCTCAGCCCGTTCCACCCCCAACCTCATGACCATTCCACCCCCACTTCCCCCTCGTTCAACACCCAAAACCTCTGCCTCAGCCCACCCGCCCCTAACCCATCACCAAAAAACCCTCCACCTCCCCGCCCCCCTCGTCCAAAAGCCACCCACCTCTCCATTCTCCTCCCCCGCCTTCCCCTTCCCCTCTTATCGCTAAACACGAGGATGCACAGGGTCTCTGCTTCGCAGGCACTGGCAGTCTAGGTAGAGGAGAGACCCAGCTGGGGCCCTGTCATAAAGCCACTTGTGCCATTCCCTTAGTGAAAACACAAAGAATACATAACGGAAAGACATCTGGAGTTAATCAGTCTAATCTGGAAAATCTAATTCTTGTTCCGTGTAAGAATCGGCCAACCACTGACACTGACACTTTGAAACTTGCTATGCTTGCTATGTCAGATCTCTTTGTAACAAGTCTTTTTTAATCAATTTTATTTTTTCTCATAATCTTGATCTTATGTTCATGGCTGAAACATGGCTTGACCAAAATTCAGGAAATGCAGTTTTAATAGAAGCATCACCACCAAATTTCAAATTCGAATCGGAAATACGGGAAAACAATCTCCTCCAATACTCTTCATTGCTCTATACAAGCCACCGCAGTCATGTCACAGTTTGATTGATAATTTTACCGAGTTGCTTTCAATTGTATGCACAGACTTCGATAGTTTAGTTATTACAGGTGATTTTAATATTCATGTGGATAATGTTAATGACAGAAATTCAAATGAGCTGAGTTCTGTACTTGAATCCTTTGGTTTCACTCAGCATGTGAGTGGCCCCACCCACAGCACAGGGCACACTCTAGACCTGTTAGTTACTAAGGGGGTGAATATTTCAAATGTAAACGTGGTCGATGTTGTTGTGTTTCACTAACAAACCACCAGTAGACGCTGCAGTTGTTCGAAGATGACTCATAAATGAAAAGTGAACTTTTTTTGGGAATGATAAACTTTCAGAATGCGTCGTGCTCGACTGTAGATGAACTGTTTAACTCTGTCACCTCTAGTGTTTTGAATGTTCTGGATACTGTTGCCCCTGTGAAGGTTAAAATAGTGAAAAACAAGCAGAAGGCGCTGTGGGCTAAAGCAGACTCGGTCAGGGCACAAAAGAGAGAGTGGCGGAGGGCCGAGCGGAAGTGGCGCAAGTCCAACCTCCAGGTTGATTACAAGATCTTCAAAGATAAGTTGCGCGAGTTTAACCGGGTGCTACGTAGTACGAGAGAAAGGTATTTTTCTTAAATGATTGAAGGCTGCAGCAACAATCTGCGTGTTCTGTTCTCAACAATTAATAGATTAACAAACCCCCCTGTTCAGCTGCCAGTAGAGCTTACTTCCAAACGTAAATGCAATGAGTTTGCAAATTTTTTCAATGACAAGGTTCAAGGCATCAAAAACGCCATTGTCTCCAATCCACAGATAACAATCCAACAGCCAGAAAAGCTCTTTGAGCTATCTCACTTAGCACCTGTAAATGATCAAATTGTCCAAGAGATAATCTCCAGTCTGAGCTCCTCCACTTGCAGCCTGGATGTACTACCCACTAGATTTCTAAAGTCTGTTCTAAGCAGTCTGTTACCTTCACTCACACAGATAGCAAACATGTCCCTTAATTCTGGAATATTCCCAAAGGCCTTGAAAACTGCAGTCACAGGCTCCTTCTAAAAAAGAGCAGTCTGGATGCTATGGTACTTAACAACTATCGTCCCATCTCAAATCTACCATTTATGGGGAAAGTCCTTGAAAAAGTTGTCTACCTACAGCTTACTAGATTTCTTATAATCAACAACTCTTTCGATATGTTTCAGTCTGGCTTTAGACCCCACCACAGCACCGCTGGCACCGCCTGCCCTAAGTTGGTTTAGGTCTTTCCTTGAAGACAGGAAGCACTTTGTGGAGATTGGAAACTGTGTCTCAGATCATATGGCCCTGACCTGTGGAGTTCCACAGGGGTCGATCCTGGGACCTCTTCTGTTCAATCTCTACATGCTGCCGTTAGGACACTTCGTTTCTGCGTATTAACTGACCTATCACAACTATGCAAACGACAATCAGATCTATGTCTCACTGACTGCAGGAGAACATGGAGCAGTGAACTCAGTCCTTCACTGTATCCAACTGATCAGTGAGTGGATGCAAAATAACTTTCTCCAGCTAAACGCAGACAAAACTGAAATGATTGTCTTTGGTCCCCAGAAACAAAGAGAGAGCGTCATCTGTCACCTACAGTCTCTCTCCCTAAAACCTTCAAACAAGGTCAGAAATCTAAGGGTAATACTGGACTCAGACTTAAATTTTAATAGCCACATCAAATCAGTAACATCAGCAGCTTTTTACCATCTAAAAAACATTGCAAGGATCAAAAACATAGTGTCTAAAGCAGACTTGGAGAATCTTATACATGCATTTGTCTCCAGTAGGTTAGACTACTGCAATGGCCTGCTCACTGGTCTCTCCAAACAGGCTGTAAAGCAGCTGCAGTACATTCAAAATGCAGCAGCTCGAGTCCTGACTAGAACCAGGAAGTACGACCACATTAGTCCAGTTCTCAGGTCTCTGCACTGGCTTCCTGTGGCTCAGAGAATAGACTTTAAAACAGCTCTCCATGGCCTCGCACCAAAATATATCAGTGACATGTTAGTCCCATACAAACCAAGCCGGACTCTGAGGAGCACATGGACTGGACTCCTGTTAGTGCCCAGAGTCAGAACTAAACATGGGGAGGCTGCTTTTCAGATTCATGCTGCTAAAATCTGGAACAGCCTTCCTGAAAGTGTGAGACAGGCCTCCTCTCTGACAATGTTTAAAACCAGGTTAAAGACAGTTCTGATTAGCTGTGCATTCAACTGAGGGATTTTATATTGTTATCTTTCTTTTTAATGTTCTGTGATTATTTATGATTTTAATGCTTTCTTATTTTGTTCAGCACTTTGAGTTGCCTCATGTATGAATTGTGCTATATAAATAAACTTGCCTTGCCTTGCCTAAACTGAAACGCTTTAAAATGATGTATCAGGTGACATTGAAACCTATATTGTTTTTGCTCTGAGAAATTATTCTGCACTTTGAACCTTCATTTGACCCCCTGAACATTAATGAAAACTTGCCAAATTTTGCCCATAAGTCAGAACCGGCAAAAAAAAAAAACATTTTGGTCTTTATTTTTATGGGACTAAAAAAATGCCAGAACAGCGCACCCTACAAAAGTCCGTTTACATTGCGCCTATGGGAGTAGGTCCAAGGTAAAGTTTGTCGTAGAGCAGTGTTTCCCACACATAGACTAATCTGTGGCGCACCGCCACAGATTAGAGACCGCCCGCCACAAATTGCGTTTCGTATTATTATATATATATTTTTTTTGTTACGCTATTTAAAACATGCATCGTCTAGTGCCGCCGCAGCGGTTAATTTGACAGCGGGGAGGGGGGTTTAAAATGTGGCGGCCCTTCGTAACTCTCACTCAAGCTACGCGTCTCTCCCACATACAGAGACCTACACACACACAGCCCCTCCCCTTCGTGCACACCGCGTGTCTCCGTCTCCATCAGCGATCATCGCTGTAAGCAGCTGTGTCTATTAATTTTGGTGCAGAGAAGACGGCTGGTGAAGTTCACTAAAGGTTGGTATCCCGTGATCTCGTAAATCACACATTAAAAAGTGCTGAATGTTCAGTGTCAATGTTGAATTTCCGTCCCGACTCCCTTAACAAGCGATGACGCTTTCTTTATAAAGTTAAAATCAGGTGCTCTGATAAAACATGCAAACTTTGCAACAAGTAGGTTTATACAGCGTTAACAGTATTTATAGTGTAATATAGTGTTTATACAGCGTGTGAATGTTATTTTTTGCAACAAGTAGGTTTATACAGCGTTAACAGTATTTATAGTGTAATATACAGCGTGTGAATAATGTTTGATATTGTTTGTTTGATACGCCTTCTGAATAACAGGAAGCTCATAACTGTCATTGCAAAATGGAAAATGATCTTTTTCACATGTCGGTTGGAAATCTCCTCCTCGGCCATTTCACCAATTTGCCTCAATCGCGTCACATCGTCTAAACCAGGGGTCTCAAACCAGTTTCAGAAAGGGCCATGTGGCTGCAGGTTTCAAACAGTTTCAAACTGAGCAGGAGCACAGATGACTCCACCCATTTCCTCAAATCTTCCAGTTAAAACTGGGTTCACCTGAGGTAATGGGTGGAGTCATCTGTGCTTCTGCTCAGTTTGGAACTGTTGGAAGTAAAACCTGCAGCCACATGGCCCTTTCTGGAACAGTTTTGAGACCCCTGGTCTAAACACACGTACCATCATTTTGACTGCACAGAATTTTGATCAGTTACACATTGTTCGAGCAGTGGAGCTTCAAAATGTGACCTTTTTTTCCCTATTTTTGACAATAGAAAAATAGCTCTCGTTTGCACATACAAACGATTTGCACATTTTAATCCATTGTTCAACTAGGTCATTTGAAAGTGAGATAATTCAAATTGGCCCATTACCTCCCACTATGTAAAAGTTTTACATCGGGGTAATCACGTTTAGTCTTTTCAAAATGTTTGAAATTTTGCACATAATTCAGTTTTGCCCTCTTGATTCAAAAAGTCAATGACACCCAAGACTTATTTTTTACCCTGTTGCCTTCAAACACTCCCCATTTTGTGTCAATGGCAAATGTACACCTCGCACAAACATCAAACCAGCCTCGGCCGTTTCACCGATTTGGCTGAACATCGCTCAACATCATCTCAACACATGTAACATCAATAGTTGTTCATAGAATTTTGATAAGTCACACGGTCTTCCAATGGAGAGTGTATTTACATGGACACACTCACAGATAATACATGTGCTCCTGTTTACACATACTGTATAAAGTCTGATTTGTACTAAACTTGACTCGGTTGTTTAACTCATGGGCCTAGGTCACTTGAAGGTGTGAAATATCAAATTGGCTCTTTAGCGCCCCGTACGGACTGAGCCACATTTTCACATGGGGGAGCCAAACCAACTGATCATATTCATTAATATTTTACACACATTTTTCAATGGCTACAGGCACAAAGGCTGCGCCGGTGTACAACGCCGCTTGCAGCTTTAATTTTGCTAGTATTTATTTATTTTTTCCCTGTGCATATAAATCAATAAAGAATTTTTTTTCCTAAAAATTGGCACAAGGCTAAATTTCATCTATTGTTCTAAGTCTAGTAGAAAAACACATGTAAATGTAACCATGATCCCAAATGTACGTTTCTGTCTGCTGTAGCTCAAACATGTGTGTCAAATGTGTGTCAAATGGCCTTAAAACATTTTACAATGGCCGTGGCCACTGTAAAATGTATTTTCAAAAACATGCATCTCGAATGCATATGACATTGGGCCACATCTTGTTACTGATAGAGGCTCAGAAAATGGAGTGCTAGTGCTCATATGAACATCTCTATAGCAGCGCTCTTATTGGTCGAGGGTTGACAGCCGCTTCACAGCAGGAACAGACCAGGCAGACTGACTGAAGGTGCTCTTACGCAGAGGGAACTACTGTTCCTTTGATTTATTACACCTACGAGTGGAGCGGGAGCCAAATTATGAGTTGCTTTATACATTAAGCATAGATTTGAGAATTTATGAAGATCTGGCCAACTTAAAAAGGAATACTTTTCCAAAATTAAACAGTGATGGTAACACTTTGGCTTTTTAGCCATTACTTTGATGGCTTGCTTATATAATATTTCTAATGGTCTTAAAGTAGTCTGATTAGCTTGACTCCAGCTTGTTAAACAATAATTAAAATGACAAAAAATCATTGAGTCTAAAAAAGGTTTTGCGGTCTGATTGATCTGAAATTTAAAAGATTAAATTTGATTGTTTTGCACATCTTTTCAACATGTGCTTTAAAAGTGAGATGTGAATCTATCACCAGTCCAAGATATTTATACTGAGGGACAGACTGTAGCTTTTCCCCTTCAACATAAATCACTGGATCTTCAGAAGCACTCTTAGTTTTACCAAAAAACATGGAGACCGATTTGGAAACATTAAGCTGCAAGCAGCAGTCTTTCAGCCGTAACACGTTCCATTGATTTGGTGAGTTTCTCAGCCACAACATCTTTGGAGCGACCATGACAAAATAATACTGTGTCGTCTGCATACATTATGCAGTCAACTTCAGGGCAGACTGTGGGCAAATCATTAATGTAAAGGCTAAACAAAATGGGACCTAAAATTGATCCCTGCGGTACTCCTGTAGCAATCATAAGTGGCTCAGACTTACTTATTTATCGCCACACACTGACTTCGGCCGTGCAGATAAGATTCCACCCAATTCACCATAGTACCCGAGAAGTTGAAATATGGGAGCTTTGAACAGAGAACAGCGTGATTAAGGGTGTCAAAGGCTTTCCTGAGGTCCAAGAATACCGCCCCCACAACACCCCCCATGATTGCCGGGGCTTGGGCAAAACAAATGAGTTAAGAAGCAGGTTTTACGTAACATATAATCCAACTATAATAAAAATATAAACTTTATCATACAGGAAGGTAGCTTTTTCATACCAAAACTTAAACATTTGTTATTTTATGGTGATGGATGTCCTAAAATGTAAGCAAATTTGGTGAGGTTGGTGTTCAAGAACTGTGTTTTCTCTTTGCAGGAAGTTTGTTTTTGTCTGTTGAAAAATGTTTTCACTTTAAAGTTTTGACAGAGCGATACAAAAATATTGGATGATTCATTTAATCATTAATTGAATACAGTACACTGTGTTAGGTCTTGGTTCAATAGGTTATATGCTATATCTTTTTTAATTTGTTTTGATAAACATTGAACCAGTCTGGCCCTCGGCTTATAGCAATATTTTTTTTTCGCCCTCTGATGATGATTTGTTAATGAAAGTGATAATACCTTTTGTAGAATTTATTTTTTCTGTGCAATAAGTCAGGTAAAAATGTGAATGTTACCTTTATGCCTCTGTTGTGTTTCTTTTTGTTATCAGCAGTTCCCTAGTCTCTCACAGCTTTCTGCCGCTCTTGGGGGCCTCAGTGGGGTCCCAGAGATGGAGCTGGAGGCTTTACAGCCTATAAACCTCCTCCAGGAGCAGTGCCTGCTGCCCCCGCGACCTCTGGAGGCCCCAGTTCCCAACCTGAGCCCTGAGCTCAGGAAGGTCAACTGCAGCCCGGAGTAAGTAGTTGTCTGTTCACTACTTGTACATTACCCACCAATGTTTCTGCCAGGAATTTATTATAGGGAGGGACCGTGAGGGCAAATGTTTTACTACAACCCAGTGGGCCATTAACTGTACGGCACTTCCAAAAGTAGCTCTTGAGTGTACCGCCACCTCCGTGCGCCAAAAACGTGTTTTAATTCTTTAGCTGTTCCGCCGCTTTCCAGAGCGCCCTTCACAATGCATGCATAGTACTTTAGCTGAGTTTCCACCGCAGGAACTTTGGGCTAATTTTCCAGGGTAAGCCCCGTCGGTGCGTGTCTCCACTGCCAGAACTTTCCCCACAGGGCCATTTACAGGAACTTTTATGGGTTCCACCCCGCTACTTTTATCAGGATCTCCTGCTATGGAAACAGGGCTTTTATCTCCCGGAGAGCAGAGACTACATTACCAGTAGTTTTACCAAGGAAAGGCGCATGCATCATTTTTCCCGCTGTAAAAAGCTCAACATGGTGCTCGTCCACACAAACCAGTGGATTCCGGAGGTGTGTGAAACGTGCAATCATAGCTCCTCAGTTAAATTACTAGTAAAGGCTATATAAAGCGTTGTGAAGCAGTAAGGCATCGCAGCTTATTACTCGACACAGGGTTCGAAGTTTTGAGGTGATTAATTTGCTTTAACACCATCATGTGGACAATTTTTTTTATAATACTCTAAATGCTTACAATAAATGAAGGATCTGAACACTTCCAAATGAGTCTTTATGACATATTTGAGGCTTTCAGTGAATTTTATCAATACATCATTCTGAAGCAGTTTTACAAAAAAGTGTTTAATTGAAGAAAAACTCTCTTTAAGATGGATTGATTAAACACAACAAACCATTTATTTGGACTATGTGTGCAGGACGTTCCGCTGCACTCTAAGCAGTATCCCGCAGACCCAGGCCATGCTGAACAAGGCCCGTCTGCCCCTGGGCCTGCTGCTGCACCCGTTTAGAGACCTCCAGGTATTACTCTGCATCTGTACTACATTTGTCCTTTGTTTATTCCGGAAGTTCCATTCTACAAATAACCTGTGATAAGAAATATCTGCATATACACTCACCGACCACTTTTTTAGGTACACCTTGCTAGAGTCAGGTTGGACCCCTATTTGCCTTCAAAACTGTCTTAATCCTTCATGGCATAGATTCAACAAGGCACTGGACACATTCCTTGGTTGTATGATAAGAGTTCCTTTATTCGTCCCACAGTGGGGAAATTTCAATGTTGCAGCGCACATACAGGACAGTAGTAAGAGCACACAGTGAGCACACATATCCATCCATCCATCTTCTACCCCTTAATCCATTTCTGGGTCGGGGGTGGTGCCTGTCAGAGCTGCACCCAGTACACATAGCACCCAGCCCCTCACTGATCCTCCTGTGGATGGTGAGACCACAGGAGCCTTGATTTTCCAGCGGGGGCTTCAGGCAAAGTGGGGTTAAGTGTCTTGCCCAAGGACACAACGACAGCAGTCATCGGTGGGAGTTATGAAGTAGGTCTCGTGGTGAGCTCGAACCCACGACCTTCAGGATCTAAGGCCAGCGCTCTACCAACTGAGCCACTGACGCCCCAGGAGCACACATAATATAGCTACTACTTAGTGTATTTTGTATGTTTCTTAACTAGCTGTATATGTTGTAAATGCATTTTAATACAGAACAAAAACTTTAACAAAGCACTGGATTGTTTGAGTCACTATTCAATAGAATATACACACCAAGTCAGACACCATAGCACAGCAAACAGCACAACAATACAGCTTACTGGTTGAAGCGAGGCGTGAGGGAAGCATGTGTAGCGTCCCGTTTCCAGGTTTCCAGGTTTGGCTGAGCAGAGTTAGAGGGAGTTACAGCCCTTGTCCACAGGCTTTTCACGCGAGGCCTGCTCGTGTGTGTAACGGGGAAGGGACAGAGAGGAGGGAAGAGGACCAGAAGCAAGAGCACTCCGAGCTTCGCGCTTTGTTTTTGTTCAGCGCGTCTCGGGGGCGTGTTCGTTGGTAGTCACTTCCTGTTCGGCATTTCCGCTTGACCAATAATATTATAGTTTACATAATTATTAATCAAACACATTCCCTGTGATTACCGTGACACACAATTCAAAAATAGATTAAATCACAACAGATATGCATGTATACATTTTGAAGCATAAATACTTTCACTATTATGTTATGTTCGAGTGGGGTGTATTTGGTAGTTACCTAATGTAACTTAAGTTCTAGGAGGAGGCTTCGCTATGGGTAACTCAGAGGCTCCCAGCCTCCCGCCAGAGAGAACTAAATGCTCCAATCACGTGCCAGTCCCATCTATAAATAGCCCTCTACAGCCCGCACCTGCCACTTTGAACTCGCCAAAGCCAGGCTGGACTGATGGGCCCGTAGCTAAGGGGCTACGCACCATTCGTAGAACTTAAGTTTATTAGGTAACCAATTCTACGTCATGGTGCTCCGCCCCTTAGAGGAGGCTTTGCTATGGGTAACCACGCGTAAGCTGTAGGAGAAATGTACTCCCATTAGGCCAGCGTAGAGTGATTGGAGCCCTGCCCGAGATACCCCCGACACCTCCATGGTGAGTGGCCTCAGGGCAGGAAAAGGAATCCAAGGCCGCTCCTACCAAGGACGCCCGTAAAGACACTGACGAAACTCAAGGCAAGCACCCCAGGGTTAAGGCCGCTCCTACCAAGGACGCTCAAGACCCCTGTCAAGCTTTCCCTGTGAATAAGTGCGGGCCGCATTCCCAGGACGCCTCTACCAAGAGTTCCTGAAGGACCACATGCTGCCCATGAGGAAATTTTTAAGGCAGACCAACCCCAGGACGCCTCTATCAAGAGCACCTGAACAGGGTGGCCCGTGTGGGTCCCGTTCCTAGGACCCAAACACACGAACAGCTGATAACGCCCGAACACAGCTGTGACATCCAGGTAGCATATCAGCATCCTGATAGGACACAGCAGGTGCCGCCGCTCATCCTCCTCCGAGACATGAGCGGGCGGATAAAAGGTCTGATCCTGATGACTCTAGACCTAAGGTCAAAGAAAGCGTTTGACCAACGGGTGGGACAGGGCCAAAGCTCCCGAACCCCCCGTGACCAGAGGCAATGGCTGACGCGAATACTGCCAAGGTGCCCGGCAGCCCTCCCTCACTCCAAAGGTTCCTGAAGAAAAACCCTCCAGAGGGCAGGACATGGGGTCCCAAGAGCGTACCGTGCACCAGGCATTGAAAAAACCTCCACCTACAGCCCTAGGCCCTGATAGTTGAAAGGGCCCTCGCACATTGACTGGTCTCCACCACTGATTGCGGGAGGACCAGGTCTACGAGGTTCCGCCTCTCAGCCTCCAGACCCAGAGTCTGTGGCCAAGCACCTGGCGCGAGTGAAGTGCCCCCCCTCCCCCTAGACCAGAGCCCAAGGCATGCGGGCTGTCCAGAGTGACCAGAATCTCCTCCCGAGCCTCCTGCTCGATCCTCCTCAGAGGATTGATATGAGGCGAGTCGGGTAAAACGCATATAAGAAGGCGTCCATCCCCTGGGGTGGATTGTCTGTGGCCCTTAGCGCGAACCAGAGCGGGCGTTAAGCGTTGTCTGCACTGGCGAATAGGTCGACCACTGGATGACCGAATCTCAGCCAGCCCTCTGCAGCCATCTGCGGGGCCAGGCCCCACTCCTCCCTGAGTGGGGCCCTCCCCCCTCTGGACCTCAGGTCTGCCCCTGTGTTCCGGTCTCCCGGAACGTGGCGTGCTCTCAGAGACTGCAGATGCACGGTAGCCCCGAGCAGAAAGATAGTTGCCAGGCAACGGAGGGAGGGGGATCGCATGCCCCCCTGTCTGTTCAGATACGCCACCACGGTGGTGTTGTCCGAACGCACCCTCACATGCTTCCCCTCCAGCTGTGGAGCAAAGTGCAGCAGCGCACTGCCCCCATCTCCAGCAGATTGATGTGGTGAAAAGGATCTGCACCACAGCATGGGCCATCCCCATCATCCTCAGGAAAGATCTGAGGCTCCGAACGGGCACTCTGGGAGCGGTCACGCTAGACCTGTTCACTACAAAGCCCAGATGTTGTATGTGTGACAGAAAACAGCGCATTAGATCCGAGGCCATCTCCCTGGACGTGGCCAAAACCATTCGTTTAAGTAGGTTAACATCCTGACCCCTGCGCGTCTGAGCGGCTCCAGGGCCGCCTCCACGCACCTGTTCTAGAGAAGGTGTGTGGAGCCTGCGCATAACCGAACGGGAGGCGGCAAGACTCGTAACGTTTCCCTCCCACAGCGGAGTGCAGGAGCGTCTGTGCTCTGTCACTATCGCTGTGTGGAAATAGGCGTGCGTCAAGTCTAAGGCAGACATCCGATATCCAGACCTGAGATTCCAAGCGAGCACTCCGGGAGCGATAAGCGTCTCCCTGGCCAAACGGGTGAAGCTCGTCTGTCCTTGGGAGACGCAGCTCGGAACCGTAGTCCAGCTGCAGCCCGAGATAAGTCATGCACTGGGCAGGCTGGAGCCTGCTCTTTCTTTGTTCACTACAAAGCCCAGCCGTTGTATGTGAGACAGAAACCAGCGTGTGTGACCCGCGGCCATCTCCCTGGGCGCAGTCAGAATTAACCAATTGTCTAAAGGTTAATATCCTGACCCCCGCGCGTCTGAGCGGTCCCAATGTTGCCTCCCGCACTGGGGGCAAGCAAACCATTCTCCGCTCTCTCGTCTGTCCTCGGATAACACAGCTCGGGATCCCACCGAGTCCAGCTGTAGACCGGGGTAGACCATGCGCTGGGCAGGCTGCAGCCTGATTAATCCCTGTTCACTACAAAGCCCAGACGTTGTATGTGTGACAGAACCCAGCGTGTGTGATCCGTGGCCATCTCCCTTGACGAGGTCAGAATAAACCAAACGACTATGCAGGTTAACCTCCTGACCCCCGCGTGTCTGAGCGGTTCCAAGTCCGCCTCCACGTACTCGTTAAGAAGGCGTGTGGGGCGAGTGCAAACCCGAATGGGAGACGGCAGTACTCACAACACTTTCCCCCTCCACGGTGAAGTGCAGAAAGTATCCGTGCTGTAGCACTACCGTTACGTGTGGGAGTAGGCATCTGTCAGAACTATGCCAGACCTCCCGTCTCCGGGCCTGACGCACTCCAGAGTCTGCTTAGGGGAGAGCTTGTGGAGCGCCCGCTTGGAGATGCACTGGTTTAACGTACGCAGAGGGAAAACTGGTCTGGACAATAGCAGCTCGACTCTCATGCTCCATCCGTCTCCGATAGGATGCAATGCAAGTCTTAATATTACTTGGAGTAACGGTCTGGACTGGCTGCTGCAGACCGCTCTCCACTCAGTGCGAACGAGCTGTTCACGAGACAACACAGCCCTCTACCTGTGATGGTATATCATGCCGGGAAGCAGGAGACTCACACACAGCGTCCAATAGTAGTCTGACTCTCACGCTTCATTCCTCTCCACGAGGATAAACCGTTAGTTTTGCTATACTTGAAGAATACGGTCTGGGCTGGCCACTGCACACCGCTCTCCATTGAGTGTGAATGAGCTGTACACGAGACAATACTCCCGTCTACCTGTGAGGGGATGTCAAGCAAGAACGTAGGAGACTCATACAGCCCCAAGGGGATCAACCCCGAGGGACGGCGGTCCTTGTGGGGCATGCTGCATGAGACAGGGAGGGTTCCAGCCATAACATCCTGGCCCCTGCGCTTCACTCTTCTCCAAGAGGACGGAGCTGATCTCACTCGTGTCAGGAGCAGTGGTCCAGACTGGCTGCTGTAAACCACTCTCCGCCAAATGTGCCTGAGCTGTTCGTGAAACACTGCCCTCTGCCTGTGAGGGAATGTCATGCAGGCACGTAGGAGACTCATACAGCCTCTGCGGGGGACAACTCAGAGGAACGGCGGTTCCTCTGAGTTGTGGGACTGAAGGGGTACCAGGCCCCCTGTCCCACTCACAACAGTCTGACTCAAGCGCCTCAC